TTTTTTTTTTTTTTTTTTTCAACGTTTATTTATTTTTGGGACAGAGAGAGACAGAGCATGAATGGGGGAGGGGCAGAGAGAGAGGGAGACACAGAATCGGAAACAGGCTCCAGGCTCTGAGCCATCAGCCCAGAGCCTGACGCGGGGCTCGAACTCACGGACTGCGAGATCGTGACCTGGCTGAAGTCAGACGCTTAACCGACTGCGCCACCCAGGCGCCCCGGGAAAACTTTTTTTTTTAACAAGCCAAGAACTTTAAGAAAGACTGATTAAGGAGATTAAGAAAGCTACTTAAGCCTATAAAAGTAGACATTTTTCTGTTATCTCCCGATATAATGCTGACCCTACCATGAGGGCTGAGATTAACCTGGACTCAGAATGACCCAGAGTGAAAAGCATGGAACAAACAAAACTTTAGAATGCATAGAATAATATAATAATGAATACCAGATAAAACTGGAAATTGTGGCATGTTCTCCTAGAAGACTATTAGATTACTCATTTGTCAAGAATAAAATATAGCAGGAGACCCAGGCACCTAGACTTTATAGGAAGGGTCATATTTGGACTAAAGCTATAACATTGTATTTTACAAGTAAGGACAGGGGTGCCTGGGTGGCTCAATCGATTGACTGTCCACCTCTTTTTTTTTTTTTTTTTAAAGACTTTTTTTTTCAAGTTTATTTCAGACAGAGCATGCAAGAGAGCAGGGGAGGGGCAGAGAGAGAGGGGAACAGAGGCTCTGAAGCAGACTCTGCCCTGACAGCAAAGAGCCTTATGTGGGGCTGGAACTCACGAACTGTGAGATCATAATCTGAGCTAAAGTCAGACACTTAACAAACTGAGCCACCCAGGTGCCCCTATGCATCTGATTGTTGATTTTGCTCAATCCCAGGGTAGTGGGATTGAGCCCTGAATCCCCTGAGTATGGAGCCTGCTTAAGATTTTCTCTCTCTCCCTCTGCCCCTCTCCCCTGCTCACGCTCTCTCTCTCTAAAAAAATTTAAGGGGGCCTGGGGTGGCTCAGTCAGTTAAGCGTCTGACTTTGGCTCAGGTCCTGATCTCACGGTTGGTGAGTTCAAGCCCCGCATCAGGGTCTGTGCTGACAGCTCAGAGCCTGCTTAGGATCCTCTCTGTCCCTCTCTCCCTTTCTCCCTCAAAAATAAACATTAAAAAAATTAAAATAAAAAATAATTAAGTGCAATAAATCAGGAGCATAGGACAAAGAGTCAGCCAAAGTCAGCACTTTCAGCAAAGGTTTGTGTAAGGGAAGAAAAAATATTTTCCTTCTACCCCTCTTAGTTCTTGGCTTGAGGCCACTGTAACACAAGACAGATTAATAAGAAAAATATTAACATGTATATTTCATGTATAGTTGGGAGCTTCAGAAAGATGAATTAACTCTCAGAGGCTTAATTTTTTTTTATGTTTATTATATTGGAGAGAGAGAGAGAGTGCGTGAGAGCGGGAGGGACAGAGAGAGATGGGAGAGAGAATCTGAAGCAGGCTCCAGGCTCTGAGCTGTCAGCACAGGGCCCAAGAGGGCTCTAACTCATGAACCCGCGAGATCATGACCTGAGCCAAAGTCAGATGCTTGACCGACTGAGCCACCCAGGCGCCCCTATCAGAGGTGGCTTCGTATTCAGGCTTAAATATCATTTCAGATAAAGACAAAAGAAGAGTGTGGAGGAGACCAGGTCTGGGTAAGTAACCAGGAAAAGTATAGTAAACAAAAGCAAGGTTTGTTATGCATATTAACCTTTAAATTGGTGTCTTTTCACATTGACAAGATTTTTTTGTGATTTAGTCATATTCTTTCTGAGAAAGGAAGATTACCCTCATAAATTTAAATTTCCATTATAAAAGGGTAGCTTCTGTTTTCAGAGCTCTTGTCTCTCCTGTTTCTCAAAATAATCAGCTCAAAATAATATTTATGTCAAAAAGGCATATTTTGGGTTGGCATATTCTGTTACCCTTTAGTCAACTCCGGCAAAGGCTGACATGTCACCTTTAAAGGAGTCTTCATTTGGGGCGCCTGGGTGGCTCAGTTAAGCGTCTGACTCTTGATCTTAGCTCAGGTCATCGTCTCATGGTTCATGAGATTGAGCCCCACATTGGGCTCTGCACTGGCAGTGTGGGGCCTGCTTGGGATTCTTCTCTCTGCCCCTCTCCACCGACCCTCTTGAAAAATAAATAAATTTTAAAGGAGTCCTCATTATTTTTTTTTAAGTAAGCCCTAGGCCCAAGGTGGGGCTTGCACTCATGACTCCAAGATCAAGAGTCACATGCTGTACCGACTGAGCAACTAAGCCAGTCAGGAGCCCCCAGTGGAGTCTTCAGTCTTTTGAGGAATTTTCTTTGGACTGCTAACCTTACTGAATTAAGTCGCTATAAATAAATGGTGATCATGTAAATGAAATGTAGTAGCCTCTGAATCCTGGCATTCCACTAAATGTCCTAGTCCTTGAAACAGGAAACTAACTGCTTACTACTCATTATTATAACACTACTCCATATTTATTAGGATATTACTATGTATCAGACATTTCACTGTTTATCTTCTTAATCCTCACAACAGTTTTAGACTGATATTGATACAGTTAAGGAAACAGAAACTTGAGGGGTGCCTGG